TGGTCTCATGTGGTTGTTTCTAATTAATGGCCAATCACAGCCCAGCTGGACACAGAGCCCAAACTACAAATTTTTGTTATCGTTCTTTCTTTCTATTCTTAGCCAGCCTTCTGATGAAACCTTTCCTTCTATTCTTTTAGTATAGTTTTAATGTAATATATATCATAAAATACTAAGTCAAGCTTTCTGAAACATGGAGTCAGATCCTCGTCTCTTCCCTCATCCAAGAGCCCCTGCGAGCACGGTCACACACGAGTGTCCCCGTGTCCCTTGGGGACATTCCGTGTGCCCCGGGAGCGCAGCTGCGGCTCTTACATAAAGCGCAGCAATTAGCGGCGGGTGAGCAGGGAGGCCTGAATGGAATTAAGGAATTCCTGCCGGGCTGACGTCAAAGCTTCACCTCTCCCGCACAAAGGGGGCCCTTGTGAGCCCCCCCGACCCCGCCGGGACAAGGCGAGTCCTCAGGGAGCCCCGAGCCGCGCATGCCGTGCGGGAATTGTCACTGCCTTGTGGGAATTGTCCCTGCCATGGAATTGTCCCTGCCATTTGGGAATTGTCACTGCCATGCGGGAATTGTCCCTGCCCTGCGGGAATTGTCCCTGCCAGGGAATTGTCCCTGCCATGCAGGAATTGTCCCTGCCAGGGAATTGTCACTGCCAGGGAATTGTCACTGCCGTGCGGGAATTGTCCCTGCTACTCAATTGTCCCTGCCATGTAGGAATTGTCCCTGCCTTGTGGGAATTCTCCCTGCCATGAGGGAATTGTCCCTGCCATGAGGGAATTGTCCCTGCCATGGAATTGTCACTGCCTTGTGGGAATTGTCCCTGCCAGGGAATTGTCCCTGCCATGCGGGAATTGTCCCTGCCATGAGGGAATTGTCCCTGCCATGGAATTGTCCCTGTCATGCAGGAATTGTCCCTGCCATGCGGGAACTGTCCCTGCCACGCAATTGTCCCTGCCATGCAGGAATTGTCCCTGCCAGGGAATTCTCCCTGCCATGGAATTGTCCCTGACACGCAATTGTCACTGCCATGCGGGAATTGTCCCTGCCATGCCATTGTCCCTGCCATGGAATTGTCCCTGCCTTGTGGGAATTGTCACTGCCATGTGGGAATTGTCCCTGCCATGCGGGAATTGTCCCTGCCATGGAATTGTCCCTGCCACACAATTGTCCCTGCCATGCAGGAATTGTCCCTGCCTTGTGGGAATTGTCCCTGCCATGGAATTGTCACTGCCATGGAATTGTCACTGCCTTGTGGGAATTGTCCCTGGCATGTGGGAATTGTCCCTGCCCTGTGGGAATTGTCCCTGCCATGCGGGAATTGTCCCTGCCTTGTGGAAATTGTCCCTGCCATGCAGGAATTGTCCCTGCCAGAGAACTGTCACTGCCATGCGGGAATTGTCCCTGCCATGGAATTGTCCCTGCCATGGAATTGTCCCTGCCAGGGAATTGTCCCTGCCATGCGGGAATTGTCCCTGCCATATGGAAATTGTCCCTGCCACGCAATTGTCACTGCCATGGAATTGTCCCTGCCACGCAATTGTCACTGTCATGCAGGAATTGTCCCTGCCAGGGAATTGTCCCTGCCATGAGGGAATTGTCCCTGCCATGGAATTGTCCCTGCCTTGTGGGAATTGTCCCTGCCTTGTGGGAATTGTCACTGCCTTGTGGGTATTGTCCCTGCCATGGAATTGTCCCTGCCATGCGGGAATTGTCCCTGCCAGGGAATTGTCCCTACCATGAGGGAATTGTCCCTGCCAGGGAATTGTCCCTACCATGAGGGAATTGTCCCTGCCATTTGGGAATTGTACCTGCCTTGTGGGAATTGTCCCTGCCATGCAGGAATTGTCCCTGTCATGAGGGAATTGTCCCTGCCACGGAATTGTCCCTGCCATGAGGGAATTGTCACTGCCGTGCGGGAATTGTCCCTGCCACGGAATTGTCCCTGCCATGAGGGAATTGTCCCTGCCATGCAGGAATTGTCCCTGCCATGGAATTGTCCCTGGCACGCAATTGTCCCAGCCAGGGAATTGTCACTACCATGCAGGAATTGTCCCTGCCATGTGGAAATTGTCCCTGCCACGCAATTGTCCCTGCCATGCAGGAATTGTCCCTACCATGAGGGAATTGTCCCTGCCATGGAATTGTCCCTGCCAGGGAATTGTCCCTGCCATTTGGGAATTGTCCCTGCCATGGAATTGTCCCTGCCACGCAATTGTCCCTGCCATGCAGGAATTGTCCCTGCCTTGTGGGAATTGTCCCTGCCATGCCATTGTCACTGCCATGCAGGAATTGTCCCTGCCAGGGAATTGTCCCTGCCATGTGGGAATCGTCCCCCTGACCAGGGAATGGTCACTGTTCCAAACCTTCCAGAGCTCCAGGAATATTTGGGAAACGCTCTCAGAGATGCCAGGGTGGGATTTAGGGATTGTTCTGTGCACAGAGGGACAGATGGGATCTCTGCTCGCTGTGACAGTGACAGGACCCGGGAAGGGATGGAGTTGGACCAGGGTGGGTTTTAGGGAAATGTTCTTCCTTGAGAGGCACTGGAAAGGCTCCTCAGGGAATGGTCACTGTTCCAAACCTTTCTGAACTCCAGGAATGTTTGGGAAACGCTCTCAGGGATGCTCAGGGTGGGATTTTGGGATTGTTCTGTGCAGTCCCATCCTGGTGGGTTCTTCCAGCTCAGGATATTCCAGCACCTCTCTTTTTCTAGCTTGGTGTTTTCAACTC